AGTTTGGTGTCAGCAGCAAACTGTCTGAGGGCATAATCTGCCCTATCATCCAGATAATTAGTGAAAATGTTCAACAGTATTGTCCCCGATACCCATCCTTGGGATATAATGCTAACAAGTGGCCTCCAACTAGACTCCATACATAAGTACCTAGTACATTCATGGGCATTTCATAAATAAATAATCAACATCACAGATGTGCATATAGTCATTGTAGAAGAAAACAGCTAAGACTTGAGACATAAAATTACGGAAATTTAGGACATATTAAAATTATTTTCTTATCCTGCACCTACAATGTGGTGCATAATGATCATTATATTTTCATAGATTTTTGTCTTAAAGGTACATATTCTTTTTTTAAAACATTCTGCTTCATTGTGATTATTCAATGTGATGTATGACTTTGTTTGGGGCACACTTTTCAAATTCTGATTTTTTACATAATTCTTAAGGACTTCTGTAGTTCCTAGCATTAATGTTTTACAAGCATTATCTTGTCCTCTTACCAAGTGTCTGACTTGGGGCTATGATATTTAACCTTTTCAAAAAAAATAGAATTCAAGACAGAGAGAAACCATGATGAGAAATACTGGCAGACTTAGTGAAAACACACAGACTTCACTTTCACACTTTTTGCTGTTACTTCAGCACATGAAACTGAGTGTTCAGCACTTCTTTATATCAGACCTAGCACTTCAATCAGAAACTTGGAAATAATCAGACATAACAGAAAGTAACCATTAAAGATATCTGGTTCAAGTAATGTGTTCATCATCAAGCAGGTGTAAGTGGCAGAGGATTAGATATGGTCTCATTCAAAGAAGAATGTTTTCATTGTGAAAACCTCTCTTTTCCCCTCGATTTGGTTCCATTCCCTAAAAATTTTCTGGCCACCATAAAAGACAATTTTTTTTCCTGATAACTGTTGCCAGACTGTGACTTAGCCATAAACCAATCCAAGTTGTGCAGCAAGGAAGTGTACTTTCTGGATTGTATGAAGAGAGATGGAAAATAATTAGGATATATGTGTAATAAATTATTTTCATATATGCTCTACAATAGTTTAGTTTTCTTTATTTATAACAAACAATTCCAGCTTTTGTTAATTTTGGAGCACTTTTATTGTTAGGTTTCTGTATACAATATTACAGAGATAAAAAATGTACCAAATGTGGAATAAAATCATAGAGAAATAGGATCATTAGGTTCCATACAAACCATTGCTAGGTTTAGAGTCTTTACAAGCACCATACTGATCAAAATTTCAAGGGTTCATGAGGCTACTAATGCACTGTCATGCTCCATGTGGGCCAACACCGAGTGGAGAGATTCCAGTGGGTAGGACATATATTTGCCAGAAGCAATGCTTAGGGAAATGGGGTCTAATTCCACATATTTCTTTCTCATCTTTCTTATACCTTTTCATCTTCCTAAAAATGAAAAAAAAATGTTGGCCTATGGTATCTCTGCCAATATTGTAACCAGAAATGAAAATAAAGGAAAGCATCTCCACGGAAGTGTGGTAGTAGATATATAATTTCAGATGATAAAACTGAAGACAGAGATGGCAAAAAGCAACACCACAGTCTCTGGTAAGATCTTTATCTGTCTGGCTTTTCATCATGTGTGCTTCTTTTTTTTTTCCCACCTCAGGTTTCCTTGTTCAGTTTCTGTGAATTTATTTCTTTGCCCCTATTCTGCCACTGCTTCTTCCTTCTTGCTTCTTTATCAGAAATACGTTGTTGTTTTTCTTTCCCTTTGCTGTCCAAGAAGAATGAGTCCTCCAGCCTCCACTCCTGCTTCTACCACCCTTTATTTTCATGCTCCTTGACCTAATCTGTCCCCATTGTTAAGCCTCTGTGACTCAAAGGCCAGCTGTACCCTGTGGAGTTTCACATTCTGCCTTCAAAAAATGAAGGTTGTTTCACCCCTGTGAGAAAATTTCAGCTGTATAGTTTTTTTCTGATTCTCTGAAATTTCAGTGTCATTTTGGCTGAAATGTTTTTAAATTACTTCTGCCCAAGGCAGACCATCAGTGTAGAAAATGTAATCCTAAATAATTTGTTTGGTAGATTTACAAGTAACTAAAAATGGACTGTTCTAATGGGAAGTATTAGGCAGTATTAAAAATAGGTTATGATGCCACCTTGTTTTAAAGTTACTGTCATCTGTATGAATAAGTATATGGTTGAATAAATGTTTTTCCTTAGATGACCATATGCTATCAGTATTCATAGACACTGAATTTTAAGCAGCTGACCATACCAACAAAAGCAGTAGTTTGAGACAAAGTATGGCTTTTCTAGAGTTAAACCTCAACTCCCAAAGTCAGTCCAGTTTAAGGGTACAAGTGTGACTTGCCGTAACTATGCCTGAATAAATTAATATCTCTCTAGGATAAGATAGTTCACTTCAGCTGAATAAAACCCTAGAAGAAATGTACCAAAATACTTCTCAGAAAAGGGAGTAAGCACACAGTCAGGGTCTCTGACCTTCTTCTTCCTGAATTATTCCACTTATTTTATTGATTTCAAAATTTGGCATAGATCTCTCGGTGTACGTGTGTGTACATGTGTAGAATAGATTTTTATGCATTTACACAAATTGTCATTTATTACCAACTTCATGGCTGCAAAAGAGAAAAATGCTAAAAAGAGATGAGGTTTTTACCTTAATATTCAAGACTTAATATTCTGTTCATCATCCAAAAATCAGTCCAGCTTTAAAAAGCTATTTTTCATCCATGTATATACATTTACACATATTTGTGTCTGCCTTCATCATAATTTAATTTGTTAGTATTACTAAATTGAAAGTGCAACTTTTATTCTAACATAATCCTTAGCATTCTGCCATAGGATCAAAGCCTAACTCTAACATGTTAGGAGACAGAAGTGCAGTTGGTACAGTCCGAAAATGAAGTTATGAACTTTGCCTTCAGACTGATGTGAGAGGATTTGCCTAAAATAAAATAATCTTATGCTTCCAGTTTAGCACAAATAAGCATGTAAACTTGAAAGATAGCACAGGTGCTTCAATAATATTGCCAGTTCCACATGGATCAATGGAAACTGTGAATGTATCTTTACATTGTGTAGTGTCAAATGGTAGTAGAGACTAGGAAGCTTGAGTTAGTCTTTTGACAGGAAAGAAAAAAGACAAGGATCTGAGAATTAAAGTCTTTGGAAACCAGGAGCAGAGGGGCACATGGCAGTTCTGATTTTTATATTGATAAAAGAATGGGAAAGGGAGAAGGGAAGATTTTTTTTTTTTTTTTTCTACAGAGGCGTTATACATGGCACTGTGTATTTACGAGCCCAAGTACAACCAAAGCCAATAAATTTAATTGCTTTCCTTGAAAGATTAAAAATCTGTCAGGGTAGAAGAATTTTTCAAAACAAAATCATTTCATATATGGCAGTAAGAAGAGATTCCCTCTGCCCCCACAACTTGGCATTTTGCTGCTTTACTTGTTTCTATCTCCAGATGATATTTTCACATAGTATAGTATGTTACTGAAATGCTGACTTGCTCATCTGCCAAAAGGTTGTGCTTAGGTGATGGGTCATTTCTGTTCCTACTGATGATTACAAATAAGGGGAACCACAGCAGGTGGTTACACTAGGAAATTATGGTAAGTTGGGGTAAGGATCTTGCCTTTTTTATTTTTTTTAAATTGTCTTTTCTCCTAAAAGCAGCTAAAAACAAGCAGAACTGTTAAAACTGAGTAGCCTAACAACACCCATTGAGCTACATATTTTTGTATTAAATTTCTTAATAGTGAAATAGTTTTCATTGCTACTTTCTTCCTCACTCTCAAACACATTTCTCAACTCCTGTTTTAAGAGAATTTGCATTTCCTTTTTTTTTTTGAAGATTTTTTTTTGCAACCAGAGAAAGCCTCTTATGACACTTCTTAAATAGAGCAATACTGACATCCATTGGTTTAATCTTATGTGACTATTTGTTAAATCTCTTCTAACTAATGTATACATACAGCATCACAATGAAAGGATTGAATTTGATGTGATCCAAGGAGGATTGTGCTAAGTCCAATTTGCTGTATTAGAAACATGAAACCAACACAGATTACTCGATGAAAAGAAACACATTGCAAAATGTGAAGTCCAAATACAATGACTAAAATAAAAGCAGGCATCACAAGTACCAACTAGGGGGAAAATATTAATGGGGAATTAGTAGTGATGCTAAATTTTTTTCAGAACCTCTCGAAATGTAAAAATACCTAATTTTATATGAACCTGTCCTGTTTTGTATTAATCATAAGGCAAAATAGTGAGGTGTGAGGAAAAATTACAAATCTAATAAAAAAAGCAGTTCAGTGAAGAAGATAATTAGTCTCTGGTTTCATCTCAGCCCTCAAAGGTTTTCCTTTAACTTGGCAGCATGCTGTTTTTTAAAATAGATACATCTTTTATAAACACTGCTGTAAGACCGCTGGTGATACAATGAAGTGGTTACATTTAATCTAGAAAAACACACCACAAAAAGTGGACGTGTTTTCAGCATTCATTATTACGACAAGCTAAGCAGATCAGGCTTAGGCTTCAAAACCAGAGTACCATTCTGGCAGCGAAGGGAGGCTTTCACAAAAAAAAAAAGCTTTCCGTTTGCTGTACCCTCCCACCGCATTCACTTGCAAATCACTGTGTGCTCGGGAAGCTTGCACTTCCCCGGGCTCCAACCTTCCCAGGGTAAGTGCTGCGGCTCCAGCAGCAGCGCCTCTCTCCCGCTCCCCTCTGAGGAGGGAGACTGAGAGGTGTCTGTGTGTCTGTGTGTCTGTATGTCTGTGCACGCCGCGCGTGTGTGTGTTCTTGATTTTTGGTGGTGGCTTTTTTTTTTTTTTTTTTTTTTCGCTCGTAAATCAGAAGCTCTGAATGAAAGCCAGTCGGAGGGAGAGCTCCCCCTTAGCTTTGGTTCCGGACTGTCCAGAGTTAAGTGATGCTGGGAGAAAAAGCCTGAGTTAGATCCAAGTAGAATCAGTCTTAAAAAATAACAGGAGAAAACTGACCAAGAAAAGGACTCTAATAGCTCGTTTTTCAGTTTGGTTGGGGTGGACACCACTTTCTCAGCAGAATAAAAGGTAGGAGCCTTTCTCGTTTTCTTTCTGTTGATATTATTACAGTTATTGTAATAGAGCACTATGTTGTTTAATGAGATTCCTATATTGGTTCTACTGTATACAACTTTCTGCATTTTATAAATATGTGTCAGGAGAAATGAGACAAGGGATAGGAAATAACTGCTGTGCATTCTCTTCTCAAAGTAAACTGATATCATATGCATGCAGGATTGAAACACTAAGAATTATATATATTTTTTTTTTTTTTTTTTTTTTTTTCTCCTAGTAAGCAAGCTGTCTTTTGAGCACCAGTTTCCATCTACAGTCAGTTCTTGAGAATTCAGTGTGGGGGGAACAAGTCTAACTGAATTGAAAAAAGCACAATGTTTCATAGTGTAACAGTTATGAACATAGCATGAAGCATACACATATGTGCCCTCACTTTCTGTATACCTGTGCAAGTCTGTTGCAGCTTTCACTGTTAATCATTCTGCCCTGGATTGAATTTCAGAATAATTACCTACACTCACAGAAAATGCTTGTTATGAAGGAAATCCCTGTGGAGAGGGATAGCAAAGTGTATACAAGCAATATTTCAAATATCTGTACAGAGCTATATGCACACAGATGGGGATAAAATTGCCTGGTTTGACATTTCAGAAAAGGGGGAGTGGAGGGAGAAGGAAAAACCAGGGGGTAGAAGGGAAAAGGTGGAGGGAGGAAAAATTCAGTCTGCACCTGTGTGAGCATTTATTGTCAATGCTGCAATAAAATCCATATTTGATGTGGTGTTAAATTAATTCAGCACAATACAAATCTAAATCCATGCTCCCAACTACTAACTATTGATGGCATTGTCAGCTGCATAAGAAATTTTCAATAGGCTCATACTGTACATGATACTAGTTGCAGCTGTAAAAATCTAACAGCCCTTCAGCTTAGGAGAATGCATCTACACGTGCAATCAGTGACAAATAGCAACCAGCATTTTGAAACGGACCTATCATCTCTGTTGCTTCCACACAAATGGAGCTGTTGCCTATAATCTTCGTCTTTCATTTGAGTAAAAGCCTCTGTATTATCCCAACAGCACTCCCGTTGCTTTGAAGGTATTTTTTAATTATACAACTTGTTGTGCATGTATGTGTGGATGTGTGTGTGAGTGTGTGAGTATGTGCACAGAGTGAGGAAGCAGGTCTGTAAAAAATAGTGTGGGGCTTTTTTTCTTTTCTTGCTTTTTTTCTTCTTCTTTTAAAGGCAGTAGGCTTTAAATTTACATGGTAATATTACTGGAGGGGAAAGGCAGAGAGTGAGAGACTGGAACACACTTGTGAATCTCTAAATCCTTTTCACATATGCCATTTACTAGGAAAGTTACGAGTCTGGTACTGGGATTTATTGAGATTTTTACAGCTACACAAACTTTTATATTAATTGCTTACCTTCTAATTGTAATAGCAGTCTATGTTCTTTTAGAGGAGGAAATGAAAGAAGGAACTTAGAGAACTAAGGAAAGCAAGAAGGAAACAGGCTATCTTCCTCAAGAGTTGCAAACCAGCTATTTAGAGTCAATATGGGTTTATGTCAAGAGAAGAATACTTCTTGGATTATCAACTCTTAATCTAGTTTAGGCCTGAGGACTCATATTTTATATACTTTGTTACATAAAAGTTTGAATGAATAGGTAATAATTTCTGCAGCAGTTTCTGTTAATTTTAATTTGTATTTATGTCTGTGTTTTTTTATGTGTGGTGTCAAGACAATGATGTACACTTAAATAGGAACACTGAAATGTCTGAAGAGTGTTGGTTATAATGCATATATTTAAACTGAAAACTGATCCTGGATTATTTGATTTTTTTGTTACTGTGAGTAGCATTGGAAAATATGTCTTGGCTACTTGCCTTACCAACCATTTGCATTTATAATACTTTCAACAGTTTGTGGGAAAGAAAATAGCAGAATACAACTTAAAAAGACTGTATGTAGAATCTTATATATTCCTAAATTATCTTTATAGCTTTGCATTAGAATAAATGACTATAGATACACTAAAACTTCACACTTGCATGCTCTCAATAGACAAAGGGTCTGTGAAGAATGATGAAATACTGAAATGTGCTCACAGTAGACACTGGTTCTACTGTTCTTTTCTGTGCTTAGCAGTAGTTAAAATGCAGAAAAATAATGTTATATATGAAGGAAAATGAGCATAGAATTAATTAAATGTAGAGATAAATTTAAAAAATACACATCTAGATATAGAAAGCAGTATACAAATTTCAGCTAAGTGATGTAAGTTTTCCCCCTTGTTAAATAATTAAATGTAAAAGTCAGAAAAGGTTAATTTGAAGATAATATCTGCCTCTGATTCTGAGAGAGTAATTTCCTGATCTCAACGTGATTTTCCAAGGAAAGAAATAAATGAAATAGAGCCTGTCTCATCTGGATAATTCTGTGCAAGCGAATTTTTTTTTTTTAAGGTCTGCTAACCATACTTGAAAAGGAGTATAATTTTGTACCACTAGGTTGCAGCACTGGTACAGGGGGTCAAAGTAAGATTGAACTATTGTTGAATAGTAGTAATGGGGTGAATATGGGGTTATGACAATATTATTTTTAATTCATTCATTATTATCACCTGAAATCATGTTTGTGAACACCAAGGTGTTTTAACTGGACTTCACAAAATGTCCTTCATAGATTTGAAAAAAAACCTGCTCTGTGGCTAATTCTTATACATTATTATTAATTATGTGGCTGACAGAAATAGAAAAAAAACCCCACTGATTATGTGGGCAGAATATAAGGGTGTAAGAAACATTTTGTGAGTGACTTCAGTGAACCACATCACTATTTGTTCTATATTACTACTGAATTTGCTATGGGCTTTTTTACTAACATACTATTTGATACATTGGGTTTTTTAAAGGAGGAAAAACTGAAATTAGAAAAGTAAAAACCATCTTCTCATGAGCAGTTTAAATATGCCTGAGTAAAACATTATCAAGGGTGACTTCACTACACATAAGGATGCCACACCACAGCACACTTTCATTTGCTCTGAACAGTGTGTAACTATCAATGAAAGCTGATAGAAACTAAAGGTGCAATTCACTGAAACATGAGGTGATTAAAAAGCACACATGCTGCACATTCTGCACTTTCAAATCTGCTAATGTGAACTTGCCTTTTGAGAAAAAAAAACCCACATTGGTTCCTCTATTGTCTAACTTCTGGAAAATCTTAAAAGCAAAAAGAAATAAAAGAAGCAGCAATGGTATTCTGAGCTCTAAATGTTCTCCAAATCTCTCTTTAGGCCAAGAGGAACTCCTGTGTCAAAAGCTGCTTGTGTTTTGGTCCCTGGCCTTACATGTCTTCACCTTTGAATCACTGGCATGGTGACTTCCCTAACATGCCTCTTTCTGTGGGTTAATGATTCTGCAAGAGAGCAATAGAAAAAAATTTGTCATCTCTGGGAGCTGTGTTTATTATAGTGACCAGACTGCATTACTGCACACAGGAAAAAAAAAAGAATAAAAACAACAGGTATCAGCTGAACCTGAACACTTTTTTTTTTCTTTTGCTCTGTTTTCATCTGGAGGGAAGCCAAAATACCACCCAACCAAAGGCTATTGAGCTTTTATGTTCTCTCTACTGGCCTATCAGTCTATTTTTTAATATGTGGGCTATCTGGCAAAAAATTGCCAGTTGAAGCCTTATGCACATTTCTTTTTAAATGCAGTCTTCCTGATTATTTAATGTCAGAGGCAATTACCTCAAATGTGTGTGTGTGTGTGTTTACAGTAGAGGTAAAACAGGGACCACCTTTATTTTAAACAGGGCTTGCATTCTAAGAAGCAGAATACAGTAAAGTTTCTTTCTTAATTTAATTCAGCCTTTTATTACTTGACTTTTTCTGCAAGTCCCACTACCATTTCTAGTCTTTATTAACTTTGATGAAATAGATCATGTTTATAATTTTTTTTTGTTATAGGAATGTGTCCAGCAGGAGGCATAAAGCTCTAGTAGCATCTCAGAGATACTTCCTAGCTTGTCACAGGGCAATAATAATACCCTGGGGTATCAGGTCTGCTATCTGGAAGTGTGTAACATGTACCAACAGGCTGCATCAGGGAAATACAAAGATTTAGGAAGTTAATTGGATATAATGAAAAGCAACATGGGAGGTGTCCTTTTTAATACTATTCCCACATGTACATAATTCTTCATATGAAGTTTTGTAACTTATTATGGCCTCTCTTAATTATAACTCAGAGTGAATGTTGAACGGTATTTAAAACAGTAGGGAATCATGTAATGAAGAGTTAGTTCATGTGTGTGTGTTTATGTAATGATTTAAAAAATTACTTGAAAATAGATGTTTCCAGAATTCTGTTGCTTCAAAGCTACAATTGTATTCTTCTGTTTTCTTAGAAAACAAAAAAACCCTCATCACGTATTTTCTCACGAAGAACTGTATATAGTATGGTATATAGATGTATGTACATATATATTTTATTGTTAATATTCCATCACCTACCACATTACAGATTGTGTTTATTGTATCACCCTAGTGCAATGTTTTGCATTACAACATAAAGAACATGATATAACACCACTTATCCAGACCAGAACGTCATCCTTAAAGATGACTGCAATCCTCATGAACTCTGCAATGCTATAATATCCAGATTTTATGAACATGAAGAATGTATACCAATGTAATTTGCATCATTTTTAGCACTACTCAAAATGCAGTGTCCTAGAGGACTGTTAATTTTTGTCCCTCAAACTGACATAAAATAAATATATAAACCTGAACTTTTTAGTTCATGTGTCTACCACGTTTTCCATCTGTTTAATGCATTCAAAGATTATCTTACTAATTATCAAACTCTCCCAATAGCGAGCACAAATAGAGATATACCTGTGTCTAGGAAACTTAGAAGCTGTGCATTCTGTCATTAGTTCCTCTAAGTATCACAGCCTTCATCAAGAGAGTTTCAAGCATTTTGTAT